GGGGAGCCCGGCATCCGCTGGAGGCCAGAGGACAAGTGAGGACCCCTGGCTGAAGACCCCCGGGGTTCATCACTGCAGGGGAATGTGCCCCAATGTGACCACTGCTGAGTGGCCTGGGACACTCTGGGGGGGAAGGGGGACAGTGGAAAGTTCTGTGGGCTCCCCTCAACCCTGGAGAAGGTGTCCTGGGGGTGCTGGGGAAGGGTCCTTTCTGGCTGCCACTTCCCCTTCACGCTGGGAGAAGGTTTTGCAACCTCGCTTCCTCCCTGGGCAGCATAAAGCAGGCGGCAGAGGGAAGGGGTGCCAAGAGGCGACACGGCTGCAGGCGCAGGTGAGGGACCCTCCGGCTGGCCTGGTGAGACCCTTGGGCCTGGTTGCTGCCCTGTGTTCTGCCACACTCCGTGCCAGAGCCCTTTGGGGGTGACGCCTGGATTTGTCCCCGTGCCCGGGTGCTTCCCGGTGACAACCAGCTTGGGACGAGGAGAAGACCCCAGATTTTGGGAGGCAGTGAGGGCAGCGAGCGGTGAGTCCCTGCAGTGCTCCACTGGAGATCGGGGCTTTCTTTGGGCTTTGTCAGCACCCCAGCACCCAGCTGAGCCTCCTCACATGTGGAGCAGGCTGTGCTGGGGGCCGGGGTGAGCTGCTCCGGCTGTCTGAGGAGGCTGCCAGCTGTCAGGGGAGCGGGAGGCAGTGAGTGAGGGCACTCAGGGCTGTGCTTGGGGGCTCATCTGGGGTGTAAACCCCCCGTGGTCCCCAGGATCATTGGCTGTGGGTGCCCTGGTGGGGAAGCGCCTGCTCTTATTTCCTCGCACAGTGATGAACCGGGAGGGTGCTTCTCCATGGCGTGCCCCTCCTTCCTCCCTGTAGGGACCCGCAGGGCCATCCCAGTGTCCCCCAGCCCTTCCATGGTCAAGAGGGGAAATGGGGTGCTGCTTGTTCCCCCAGCTGGACTGGCTGCGGGGTTCCAGTAGGTGGAGGATACCAGGTCCTGGAAAAACTGCTGGAATTTTGAAGTGGGGAGGCAGAAAAAAAGAAGACAAAAATAGATGGAGGGGAAGTGCTGGTGTCTGGCTCTGTCCTGTGCCCATGGCGGCCACACTTGGAGGGACATTCCCCCATTGGCACCAGCAGTGTCCCCAGCTGTGGTCCTCTGGGATGCTGGAGCATCACCATCCCAGGACCACCACCCCAGGATCACCATCCTGGGATTATCACAGAAGCAGGGCCAGCAGAGCCAGGGAGGGATTTTTCTGGGCAGGGTCATGAGCCCAGCTGCAGTGAGGAATCCCCCTGCAACAGAAGGGGAAGGTTGGTCTCAGGGAGGGTTTGGGTTCAAATGGGGCCACCTTGGGGCTGGGGATCCCCTAGCACTGCAGGGACTCAGCACCCCTAAGCAGCCTTGACATTGCCAAGCCCTAGAGGGTTCTCAGGGGCTCAGAAATGGGGTAGAAGGGTGAAACCAAAGTGAAATCAGAGTCCAGATCTGTACTGGAAGAATGCTGAAACCCAATGGTCTTCAGGGAGGCAGGGACAGAGCAGGGTGTCCTACACATGAGGAGATAGGAGAAGTGACTGTCACCTGTGATTTCCCCATCACGGCCAAGCACAGGGGACATGAGGATGCCCAGCAGCACCCAGCTGAGCAACAGGAAAACCAGACGTGAAATATTTCCAAAGCTGCCTGCAAAGGGTGACACGTCTTTCCGTCAGGGGGGTGAAACCACTCACGCAGGGACAGGACCAGAGGGGGAAGAATGACAAACCACCTTCAGACCTTCTTGAGTCCCTGCCTGCCCTAAGCACCATGACCATAGCCTCTCTGCTGGCTGGGGTGGCAATGATGCTTGAGGGGATGAGGAGGATGGAGGGATCCAGAGATGCTCAAATGACTTTGGAGGTGTCCAAGGGGCCCTGAGTTGCCCAAAGATCTCAGAGGCTTTTGAAGGACCCACACAAACCAGGGGAACCCAGGGATGCTGGAGGGGCCAGGTGGAGGATGTGATGCTGTGTTGATGGGGGAGTCCCCTGACCCAAGGAAAAGTGGCTGATCTATGGGAGACAGGGAAGGAACAGGGTTGGAATGAAGTGGAGCAGACTGAGGGGTGCTGGTGGTGTTGTACAAGGGGACAGTGTTCATCTGCAGCCCTGCCCATTCCCTGGCATGCATGGGCACAGGGCATGGTAGAGCAATGGAGTGGGGCTGCCCACTGACTGGGAGGGGACCTGGGGGCAGTGGAATTGCCAGGGAACCCAGAGACACTGTCATCCCTGGACCACACCACCCTCTCACCCCACAATCATGCTGCTTTGTGCTCCACAGGTAAAATGGAGTCTTTCTCCTTCAACGGGGATTTCTCCAACCTCTTCTCCCTCTACAATTACACCTATGACTACAGCACGGCCATGCCTGACACTGCTATCTCCTCTGCTCCATGCCGGCCCGATGGATCTGCTCTCAACAAGTACCTGGTGGTGGTGATCTACTGCTCTGTCTTCATCCTAAGTGTGGTGGGGAATGGGCTGGTGGTGCTGGTGGTGACCTCCAGCCATACCAACCGCTCTGTCACTGACGTCTACCTGCTCAACCTGGCTGTGGCAGATCTACTCTTTGCCCTCAGCCTGCCACTCTGGGCTGCCTACCGAGCACACGAGTGGGTCTTTGGCACTGTGATGTGCAAAGCCATCTCTGTGCTGCAGGAGGCCAACTTCTACAGTGGCATCCTGCTGCTGGCCTGCATCAGTGTGGACCGCTACCTGGCCATCGTCTATGCCACCAGGGCCGCTACTGAGAAGAGGCACTGGGTGAAGTTTGTCTGCTTGGGCATCTGGGTCTTCTCTGTGCTGCTCTCCCTGCCTGTGTTGCTCTTCCGCGAGGCTTTCCCCTCACCCAGCAATGGCACCGTGTGCTATGAGCGCATCGGTGGTGAGGACACTGCCAAGTGGCGGGTGGTGCTGCGGGTCCTGCCACAGACCTTCGGCTTCGCTCTGCCCCTTCTGGTGATGCTCTTCTGCTATGGCGTTACCATCCACACCCTCTTGCAGACCAAGAATGCCCAGAAACAGCGGGCCATGAAGGTCATCTTTGCCGTGGTGCTGGTCTTCCTCATCTGCTGGCTGCCCTACAACATTACACTGGTGAGCGACACCCTCATGAGGACACGGGCTATCGCTGAGACCTGCGAGAGGAGGAACAGCATCGATGCAGCCCTCTCCGTCACACAGGTCCTGGGTTTCGCCCACAGCTGCATCAACCCCATCATTTACGCCTTCATTGGGCAGAAGTTTCGCAACAGCTTCCTCAAGATCCTGGCCCAGCGTGGGCTCATTAGCAAGGACGCTGTGGCCCGCTACGGTCGCACCTCATATGCCTCCACCTCTGGCAACACCTCCACCACCCTCTGAGCCCTGCTGGAACCTGATCCTCGCAGCTCCCACCAGGTCCCAGCACCCTGCACACCCCAGCATCCTTTTCCAACCACCTGGGATGCGGGCAGCAATGCCACGGGAATGGGAAGGGCCACTACTGGTTGCTGGACCCCGGCTGGAAGGGGGCTTGGGTGGTGAGAGAGTAGGGTCCCATTGCTAGGGGAGCGATGCCCACCCTCCCTGCTCTATGGTGTAGAGCCTGTGACTTCAGGGACCCCACAACCCTGCTGTGGGGACAGTGTTCATGGCTGATGGCCATCCAGCATTAAAGGAGTTGGCAGGTTGGTCACCCAGATCTGGCTCCTCTTTGCCACGGAGAGGAGGACGGCAGGATGGAGCCAGGGCACATCTCTGGGGATGGTGGGTCCTGGGCTCCCCGCCTCAGTGCCAAAGTGGTGGTGCCAGTTGAGCCCAGCGGCATGTAGGTAACCCGACTTTCAGGCCAGGGAAGGGCTGTTACCCAAGAGGCTGTTGCGGGAAGTTCGTCATCCTGTGCATCCCCAGAGAGGACCCAACCCGGGGTCTTGGTCCCCACTGCCACACAGCCAGGTTCTGGCACTTTCCTGGTGTGGGGGTCTCCATGGGGACAAAGCCACCCCCTTCCTGACCCCAATCCGAGCCCCAGTGAAGCAAATACTTAGGCACACCCTTACTGACTGTGACCCCTGCCCTGATGGGTGCTGTCACCCGGGGTACTCCCTGCTCCGCACCCCCCCCCCCCCCCCCCCCCC